TCTAGGAGCCCTTGGCTGGCCATTTTCTCCTTGGGTTCAGGGCCCGATCCTCTGAGCCTTTCCTAGTGCACAGACCATTTCTCCCCACTGACTGCCTCCAGAGAGAAACCATTATTTATATCAACTTATGGATAGTGAAATGCTTCTATATTTAAAAGGGATGCATTTATCTTATACATATGTATTAGACCGGGGTCTTTGTGGCTCAGCTGGTAAAGAAGCTACCTGCAATGCGGGAGACCTGGGTTCAATCCCTGGGTTCAGAAGATCCCCTGGAGAAGGGAAAGGCTACCCAGTCCAGTATTCTGGCCTGGAGAATTCCAGGGACTGTATAGTCCATGAGGTTGCAAAGAGTCGGACACGACTGGGTGACTGAACAACATTAGACAATACTGCTGGGAAAATGAATGATATATAATAATTACATAATTGTTATATGAATTATATGAAAAAATTAAAAATTTTTCCAATTTATGTTTTTTGTGACTACAGTTTCTGGAAAGCCTAATGATATACTCCAAAAAGATGGGCTCAGAGTTGAAGTAGAAAAGGATGACCCCCACTTCCTCCTAGAACATCTTGGCATTTGGGTGTCTGTCACACATCACCCCTCACCCCTCAGTTGGTTTCTAAGTTCAGGTGAACTTAGAGTGATTCTGAGACTGTAACTTTTTTCCCATCTTGCTTCCTCTACTCGAAACTCCATCTTAAATGTGGAGGGTAAATAAATTATGTATTACCGCATTTTTGTTTTTTTGTGAAGACAGAGGTGCATGCATGCTAAGTCGCTTCAGTCAGGTGCTATGGACTGTGTGACCCTATGGACTGTAGCCCACCAGGCTCCTCTGTCCATGGGATTCTCCAGGCAAGTATCCCAGAGTGGGTTGCCATGCCCTCCCCCCCAGGGGGACCCTTCTGACCCAGGGATCAAACCCGCATCTCTTGTGTCTCCTGCATGGGCAGGTCAGTTTTTTAATTTACCCCACTGGGAAGCCCTAGAAGACAAGCAGACCCATAATGTTTACAAGGATTCTGGTCTCTCCTGTGGAGTAAGAATATTTTGATACAATTTCAAATTTATGGTCACAAGAATTCCCATAAGCCCTTTAAATGAGCCTTATCCACTTACATTTTGCCCTGTTTCTCTCGCCTTCTCCCTCCTCTCTTCCCATCTCTTCTCTTTTTCTCCTCTCCTCGACCCTCCACCCCACACACTTCTTCCTCCTTCCCCTTGCTCTCCTTCACGAAGTTGATGGCTTAGTTTGTTACTCCTGTTTGCTAGAGTTCTCAGCATGTCTCATAATTCTTGCTGTATTTAGCTGAGACTGACCAAGAAAGCGTCTCATCTCCACTGTTCCACCGTCCCAGTGGCTCCCAACCTTGACGGCATGTTAGAGTCACCCAGCTGAGGGGGGCAGCATCCAGGCATTAGCGAATCATTACACTTTCCAGGTGTTTCCAATATGCACCTGAGCTTGAGGACCACTGAACCAGAAATTCAGTTCCCTGGCGGCTCAGACGGTAAAGCGTCTGCGTACAATGTGGGATGCCCGAGTTCGATCCCTGGATCGGGAAGATCCCTGGGAGAAGGCAATGGCAACCCACTCCAGTACTCTCGCCTGGAAAATCCCATGGACGGAGGCGCCTGGTAGGCTGCAGTCCTTGGGGTCGCAAAGAGTCGGACACGACTAAGCGACTTCACTTTCGGTCAGCTTCCTAAATGGGCACTCTGGCTTCACACGTTGGAGCGACAGCACAAGGACTGACCAGTCTGAGTGAACACCAGCAACGAGGAGCTCTGGAAGCTCCCTGAATTCCAAGAGCTAGACTTTTAGTTGCTAGGTTGTGAGGACGTGTGGGGATCTCAGAGAAGGGGTGCATGTGGGGGACTCAGGGAAGTGGCTACTTACCAAACATCACTCAAAAAATAAATAGCACTGAAACATGTATATTATCATATGTGAAACAGATCGCCAGTCCAGGTTCGATGCATGAGACAGGGTGCTCAGGGCCAGTGCACTGGGATGACCCTGAGGGAAGGGATGGGGAGGGTGGTGGGAGGGGTGTTCAGGATGGGGAACACATGTACACCCATGGCTGATTCATGTCAATGTATGGCAAAAACCACTACAATATTGTGAAGAATTAGCCTCCAATTAAAATTAATTAATTATTTTTTTTAAAAAAGCAAAGAAAGAAGAGCCCTTATAATGCCAAGTAGCAAATACACAAAAAAATGTGAAGTTAGAAAATCACCATTTAATAAATTCATAGTAATAATTGAATCAGATAAGAATCATCAATAGATGACAAAAACTAAGAGGAACCAGATAGCTACATAGCCTCAAAGTATCTCCACATAATATAGCTATTCATTATGACGAGAAAAAATTGTAACTTTCCCATGGAGAGAACTGAGAGGCACCACTTCAACCAGGTCAGTCAATTGGCATCACCAATCATGGACAAACATCACTTACCTCCTAACAGGAGTACCAGGAAGGACATAACATCAATTCTATGTTATATCTGTCCAAGAAATATACAACCTCAATATAATCACGAGAAAGTATTAGACAAACCCCTAATGAGGAATATTCTACAAAGATCTGACTTGTAATCATCAAAATCAAAGAAGAAAAAGAGGGGCTGAGGAATAGCTCTTCAGTAGAGAAGACTGAAAAACAAACAAAAATTCTATTAAGCAAATGCAACACGTGCTCCTTGTCATTACTGTTGTTTAGGTTTCTTTTATCTTTTTCAAAATGTGTTTGGCTGTGCCACAAGACATGCAGGATCTTAGTTTCCCAACCAGGGATTGAACCCATGTCCAGGGCAGTGGATGCCCACTGGACTGCCAGGGAAGTCCGTGTTTAGTGTTCTTTATAAAGAACGTTATCGGGATGATTGGTAAAATTTGACTAATGTCTCTGCATTATATGGTGGCACTGTATGAATATCAACTTTCTGACTTGACTGATTATATTGTGATTATGTGAGAATATATCCTTGTGTTTTAGGAAATTCATACTAAAGCATTTTGTGATGTTGAGACATTGTGTCTACAACTCTCAAATTATACACGTGTGTGTGTAAGTATGTGTGTGTGAGAGAGAGTAAATATGGTACATAATTTATAATTTGTGGATGATATTTGGGAAAATTGGGTCAAGAGGATAGTGAAGGTCTTTAGCTATTTTTGCAACTTTTCTCCAAGCTTATTTCAAAACAAAAATGTTAATTTTTAAAAAGGAAATAAGCATGAGATCTAAACAAAGAGAGTATGAAAATGGAGCAAAAAAAAAAAAAAGAAATTTTAAAGACACCTAGTTACCTAGAAAAAAATTCAATTTAGGAAAATGTCAGCTTTTCCAAGCAAGAGATTTTGACTACTGTGAGAAAAAGTTTAAATAGACATAAGAACACTCAAGGGATTATATAATCATAATAATAAAACTTTGTATAGTCTTTTACAGAATGAAAATGCATTTCCAATGTTGACTTCCAGATGAGGAAACTGAGGCAAGTGAAAGACAAGGGTGTCCACCTGAAGCAGTTGTCCCTGCACCAGTCTATACAGGTGGTGCTCCTAGAACTGGCCCAGTGAAGGCGACCATGTGTTTTAGATGGTAATCATAGGTGTCTGCAAGGCTTAAGACTCAGAAGCATCAAGCTAATGCTTCCTTTCACCCCCTGCCTCTCCCAGTTTTCCGAACCTGCTTCCAGGACCACATCTTGTGCATGGACTGGAGTTTCAATTCTCACGTTTCTTCAAATGTCTGAAGTAAGGCCAGATTGTCTTTTTTTTTTTTTTCTGTTTTTGCTGTTGTTGTTTATGTGATCATGATTTTTATTTTATTAAAAATATTTATTTTATATTGGAATCTAGTTGATTAACAATAGTATGTTAATTTTGTTATACTGCAAAGTGATTCAATTATACATATGCATGTATCTATTCTTTTTAAAGTTCTTTTCCCATTTAGGTTATTAAAGAATATTGAGCAGAGTTCCCTGTGCTGTACTGTAGTACTTGTTGGTTATCTGTTCTAAATATAGCTCTGTATTTGTTGTTTTTGGCTATTGTTCTTTTTTCAGGAGCACTTACATTTTCAAAATTCCATACTTGTAATTACAATCCATTTATACACACAAAGGGATTGAAGTTCAGTAGCTAGAAAACTATGGTTGGTTGAACAAATTCCTCTTCAGTGTTTCAAGTCCCAAGGGCTTTAAAAAAAAATGTGAAGCCTTTGGCCAGTGAATCTGCCCCAGTGTGGCAGCCTGGCCACAGGGTCCCATGTGCCATGAGACACAGAACTCTTTGTCCGGGACCAGGTTTTATGAGCCAACAAGAGAAGTGCCTCGGAGCTCCCTCAATAAACATACATGTGAGGAAGCCTGGGAGCAAGTCCGTTGATACAGTTTAGAATGATGAGTTTTGCTTTCTTTTGTTTTCACACTGTATTTGACCAGGACCTGACCATGAAACTAGGACATTATTGTCCTAGGGAAGTGATTCTCAAACTTTTTGGTCTCAGGATCTCTTTACTTGCAAATTTGGTGAAGACAAGTGTTTCAAGTCCCAAGGGCTTTAAAAAAAAATGTGAAGCCTTTGGCCAGTGAATCTGCCCCAGTGTGGCAGCCTGGCCACAGGGTCCCATGTGGCATGAGACACAGAACTCTTTGTCCAGGACCAGGTTTTATGAGCCAACAAGAGAAGTGCCTTGGAGCTCCCTCAATAAACATACACGTGAGGAAGCCTGGGAGCAAGTCCGTTGATACAGTTTAGAATGATGAGTTTTGCTTTCTCTTGTTTTCACACTGTATTTGACCAGGACCTGACCGTGAAACTAGGACATTATTGTCCTAGGGAAGTGATTCTCAAACTTTTTGGTCTCAGGATCTCTTTACTTGCAAATTTGGTGAAGACCCCGTGCTTTGTTTGGGTGGATTATATCTCCGAACATTTGCTGCCGTAGGTAAAATGGAGTCATTTGTAAAATGTTTTGCAAAATATTTATTTCTTCGTTCATTAAAAATAACAATATATCAAATACATGTTGACATAAATAATATATTTTTAATGAAAGACCACTATATTTTCCAAAGCAAAAACAGTTAGAAAAATTACATTGTTGTATAATTTGTAAATTTGTTTAATGTCTGGTTTAATAGAAGACAGATGGATTCTTGTATCAGTTTCCATATTCATCTATTGTGACACCACAGAGCACAGTCTCTGGAAAGTGGCACTGTATATCAATGAGAGGATGAGTGAAAATGGCAAAAACAACAGAGTATGTATATGAAAAGAGGCTTGACCTTGTAGAGGTCAGAAAGAGAACCCAGAAAGAGTTCTAGGGTCTCCCCTGGTTCCCCAAACTACATTTTCAAAATACTGTCCTAGGGTTAAGCCTTCAATAGCACCTAAATGGCAATATTTGGTTATGACCATGAGCCTATTCACAGGGGTGATTTTAGAAAATAATAGATCAGGAATAAATGGTGATTGTGGGTATGAAAGTCCAAGAACATGCTGAAAGTCTTAACATACTGAAGGAGAGTCTAGATAGTAAAACAAGAAGGGAAAAGCTGGTGAGTAAAGGACAAAGCAAACAAAACTATGAACTCTGATCGCAAGGTAGAGATTGTCTCTCCTATGTTTTATCTTTACATACTCATCTCTGTCTGGGTGATTTCTGGTCTGTAGAAGAGTTAGCACTTTGTAAGTTAATTCAGTCATTAGAGGAAACAGCAACAATCTAGTATTATCTCATAAATAAGTACTAATAGCATCAGTACTTGGAGAAGAAAGAGTACTCACAAGGAACAATATTACCATTGCTGGCAGCCCCCATACATACAGAAAAAAAGTAGTCACAGGAGAAGGAGTATTAGTGCAAATGACATGAGTTTATGAAGGGTAAGTAGTCACTGTAGAAAAAGCATTACTAGTACTATTGTTCCCAGATGTTGTTGGGGAAGGATAATTTGTAATCAGAGCATCATTACCAAGGCTAGCAGTTGGAGAAGTGGTTACTCTAGGAGGAGAGGTTAGTGTAGCAGAAGTACTGTTCTTATAAATACTTTCAGAGAAACTAGTCAATAGGAAACTATTGCTAGTAGTAGCAGCACAGTATCTGTAGGAAAACAGTGGTAATGGGTAAGTCGTATTAGTGCTAGTAGCAACAGTATTTGTTGAAGAATGAGTAGTGGTAATAAGAATAGTAGTACCAGTACTAGTATCAGTAGTACTTGTTGGGAAAGAAGTAGCCGTGATAGGAAGAGTAGCAGTATTGGTATTTGTAGGGAAAGGCACAGTAGAGTTAGGAACATTAGCATTAGTAACTTCAATAGCACTTGCTGGGAAAGGCATGACTGTGACAGGAAGAATACCATTAGTGCTAGATGACAGTAGTGTTTGTAGGGGAAGATATAGTAGTATTAGAGACAGTAGTTGAAACTTCAGTACTATTTGTTGGGAAAGGCATGGTTGTGACTGGAAGAGGAACATTAGTGCTATCAGTACTAGTATCTATTGGGGAAGAAATAGTGGTAAATTTACAGGGGAAGATACAGTGGCATTAGGGACAGTAGTACTAGCTGTAACTTCAGTAGTACTTGTTGGGTAAGGCATGGTTGTGACTGGAAGAGGAACATTAGTGCTATCAGTACTAGTATCTATTGGGGAAGAAATAGTGGTATTAGGGACAGTAGTACTAGTTGAAACGTCAGTAGTACTTGTTGTGTAAGGCATGGCTGTGACAGGAAGAGTAATATCAGTACTATCAGTAGTAGTATTTACAGGGGAAGAGAGAGTGGCATTAGGGACAGTAGTACTAGTTGTAACTTCAGTAGCACTTGTTGGGTAAGGCATGGTTGTGACTGGAAGAGGAATATCAGTACTTTCTGTACTAGTATCTATTGGGGAAGAAATAGTGGTATTAGGGACAGTAGTACTAGTTGAAACGTCAGTAGTACTTGTTGTGTAAGGCATGGCTGTGACAGGAAGAGTAATATCAGTACTATCAGTAGTAGTATTTACAGGGGAAGAGAGAGTGGCATTAGGGACAGTAGTACTAGTTGTAACTTCAGTAGCACTTGTTGGGTAAGGCATGGTTGTGACTGGAAGAGGAACATTAGTACTATCAGTGGTAGCATTCATAGGGGAAGATACAGTGGCATTAGGGAAAGTAGTACTAGCTGAAACTTGAGTAGCACTTGCTGTGTATGGCATGTCCGTGATTGGAAGAGTAATATCAGTGCTATGAGTAGTAGTATTAATAGGGAAATATATAGTGGTATTAGGGATAGAAGTACCAGTTGAAACTTGAGTAGCACTTGTTGTATATGGAATGTCCGTGATAGGAAGAGTAACATTAGTGCTATCAATAGTAGTATTTGTAGGGGGAGATATAGTGGTATTATTAGAGGCAGTAGTACTAGCTGAAACTTGAGTAGCACTTGTCATGTATGGCATGTCTGTGATTGGAAGAGTAATATCAGTACTTTCTGTAGTAGTATTTATAGGGGAAGATATAGTGGTATTAGGGACAGAAGTACTAGTTGAAAATTCAGTAGCACTTGTTGGGTAAGGCATGGTTGTGACAGGAAGAGTAACAACAGTGCCATCAGTAGTAGTATTAACAGGGAAATGTATAGTGGTATTGGGGACAGTAGTACCAGTTGAAACGTGAGTAGTACTTGTTGTGTATGGCATATCTGTGATTGGAAGAGTAATATCAGTGCTATCAGTACTGGTATTTACAGGGGAAGATACAGTGGCATTAGGGACAGTAGTACTAGCTGTAACTTCAGTAGTACTTGTTGGGTAAGGCATGGTTGTGACTGGAAGAGTAACAATAGTGCTATGAGTAGTAGTATTAATAGGAAAATATATAGTGGTATTAGGGATAGAAGTACCAGTTGAAACTTCAGTAGCACTTGTTGTATATGGAATGTCCGTGATAGGAAGAGTAACATCAGTGCTATCAATAGTAGTATTTGTAGGAGAAGATATAGTGGTATTATTAGAGGCAATAGTACTAGCTGAAACTTGAGTAGCACTTGTCGTGTATGGCATGTCTGTGATAGGAAGAGTAATATCAGTGCTATCAGTAGTAGTATTCACAGGGGAAGATATAGTGGTATTAGGGATGGTAGTACTAGTTGAAAATTCAGTAGCATTTGTTGAGTAAGGCATGGTTGTGACAGTAAAAGTAACATTAGTGCTATCAGTAGTAGTATTTATAGGGAAATATATAGTGGTATTAGGGACAGAAGTGCTAGTTGAAAATTCAGTAGCACTTGTTGAGTAAGGCGTGGTTGTGACAGTAAAAGTAACATTAGTGCTATCAGTAGTAGTATTCATAGGGGAAGATATAGTGGCACTAGGGAAAGTAGTACTAGTTGAAACTTGAGTAGCACTTGTTGTGTATGGCGTGTCCGTGATAGGAAGAGTACCATCAGTGCTATCAGTAGTAGTATTTACAGGGGAAGATATAGTGGTAGTAGGGACAGTAATACCTGTTGAAACTTCAGTAGTACTTGTTGGGTAAAGCATGGTTGTGACAGTAAAAGTAACATTAGTGCTATCAGCAGCAGTATTTGTAGGGAAAGATGTACTGGCATTAGGAACAGTAAGACCTGTTGAAACTTCAGTAGTACTTGTTGGGTAAAGCATGGTTGTGACAGTAAAAGTAACATTAGTGCTATCAGCAGCAGTATTTGTAGGGAAAGATGTACTGGCATTAGGAACAGTAAGACCTGTTGAAACTTCAGTAGTACTTGTTGGGTAAAGCATGGTTGTGACAGTAAAAGTAACATTAGTGCTATCAGCAGCAGTATTTGTAGGGAAAGATGTACTGGCATTAGGAACAGTAGGACCCGTTGAAACCTCAGTAGCACTTGTTGGAAAAGAAGTGGTTGTCGTAGGAGGAGTAGCACTATTGCTCTCAGTAGTACTCAGGCTACTTGGAGTAGAAGAACTAGTGGTAGCAGAAGTAGCAGTGGTAGTAGGAGTTGTAGAAGGATATAAAGAACTCATTGGGAAGGTACTTGTCATAGTTGTAGTAGAAACTATAGGACCACCCTGAATCCAAGTAACCTCAGTTAACTTTTCCAGGCTGATATTCTTGTCAGTCAATTGAATATTTAGTGTCTGCAGGAAAAGAAGAGATGAAGTTGGTATTTTAGAATTTGTTAAATATCACATTTAAGTTAAACCTCACATTACAGTGTAACAACTGTGCAATGCAACTTATTAAGACCAATCTAACATACAGCACAATATCTTTGGGAAACACATGGAAAGGATTCCATCAGATCATTGATCATTGATCCCTGGACTATCCTGAGTAAGTAAGATCGCTCAGTCATGTCCAACTCTTTGCAACCCCATTGACTGTAGCCTACCAGCCTTCTCCCCTGGGATTTTCCAGGCAAGAGTACTGGAGTGGGTTGCCATTTCCTTCTCCAGAGGATCCTCCCCACCCAGTGATCGAACCCAGGTCTCCTGCATTGTAGGCAGATGCTTTGCCATCTGAGCTACCAGGGACTATCCTGAGAGGATCACTAACGTGCACTGTACAATATGAGTCAACATTTGCAAATATATATAACCTTTCAAGTATAAGTAAATATAACAATAGTGCTAATAACTTTACAGAAAAATAAAATTAATGTACGATATGATAACATTCCTTTAAGACATACCTGATTGTAAGGGTCACTCTTGAAATTCATCACCATGAATTGTTGATTGTCATAGGAGACAGTCACTTGTGTTATATCAGTAGAGCTTATGCCCCAGATTCTAATATATCCAACTTTCAGTGAATTTGAGTCACTCAAATAATTATTATGTATCATTTGGATTTGCAGTACACTCTGCAAAGAATACATAAAGAGGAAAAGATACATAATACATCTGTTAACAGACTAAATTCTATATTACAATGTTAACAAAAATTCTGGTTTTATCCTTAAATACTTCATGAAGACATACTTTCTCAGAACTTAAGACAATAAATTTGAGGTGCTCAAAACAGGTTTGTGTGTCAAAATTATGAACGTTTTTTCACCTACATTATTACTAATTCTTACAATGATTTTGAAAAGAAAGAATTCTTATATCTGTTTCACAGATGAGAAAACTGAGGCTCTGGGAGAAAAAATGAGAAGGTTAAGGTCATATAGCTTAAAGGCATTTATATGGTTGGAATCATGATGAATTTATGTGCATAGCACTGTATGACTTAGCACAGTGTGAATAAACGATTATGGCAACTTGTCCCTAGGCTGAGGATCAATCATTCAGCTCAATCACCCAGTTGTGTCTGGCTCTTTGCGACCCCATAGACTGCAGCATGCCAGGCTTGCCTGTCCATTACAAACTCCCAGAGCTTGTTAAAACTCATGTCCTTTGAGTTGGTGATGCCATCCAACCATCTCATCCTCTGTCGTCCCCTTCTCCTCCTGCCCTCAATCTTTCCCAGCATCAGGGTCTTTTCCAGTGAGTTGGCTCTTGGCATCGTGTGGCCAAAGCACTGGAGCTTCAACTTCAGCATAAGTCCTTCCAATGAATATTCAGTACTGATTTCCTTTAGGATGGACTGGTTGGATCTCCTTGTTGTCCAAGGGACTCTCAAGAGTCTTTTCCAACACCACAGTTCAAAAGCATCAATTCTTTGGTGCTCAGCTTTCTTTATAGTCCAATTCTCACATCCATACATGACTACTGGAAAAACCATCGCTTTGACTAGATGGACCTTTGTTGGCAAAGTGATGTCTCTGCTTTTTAGTACATTGTCTAGGTTTGTTATAGCTTTTCTTCCAAGGAGCAAGCATCTTTTAATTTCGTGGCTGCAGTCATCATCTGCAGTGATTTTGGAGCCCAAAAATATAAAGTCTGTCACTGTTTCCACTGTTTCCCCATCTATTTGCCACGAAGTAATGGGACCAGATGCCATGATCTTAGTTTTTTGAATGTTGAGTTTTAAGCCACCTGTTTCCCTCTCCTATTTCATCAATAGGCTCTTTAGTTCTTCTTTACTTTCTGCCATAAGGGTGGTGTCATCTGCATATCTGAGGTTATTGATATTTCTCCCAGCAATCTTGATTCAAGTTTGAGCTTCATCCAGCCCAGCATTTAGCATGATGTACTCCACATAAGTTAAATTAAGCAGGGTGACAATATACAGCCCCGACATACTCCTTTCCCAATTTGGAACCAGTCTGTTGTTCCATGCCCGGTTCTAACTGTTGCTTCTTGACCTGCAAACAAATTTCTCAACAAGCAGGCCAGGTGGTCTGGTATTCCCAAGTCTTAAAGAATTTTCCCATAGTTTTTCATGATCCACAAAGTCAAAGGCTTTAGCATAGACTAAGGATAGTTTGCAACAGATCTAAATTATGAACTACTTTAAGTATCAACACAAAGGTTACAATAATGTGAGTGAAGTCATGAGATGTTAGAAGATTAAGGCCTAAATGAAAATCATCATGAATATTTGTTATGGGTGTTAAAAGAAAAAAAATAAAGAATCACCATGGGAATGGGGTTGTCAAGAAAGGACTTAGGAAAGATGTGGAATGTGAGAAGTCCTGGGAGGATGGATAGAGCTGATGAAGACAAAATGAGTAGGAAAGGGAATGGGGTGGAGGGAGGCACAGACACATCCAACATAGGCAGAGAACAAAGGTGCTGAGTTCATAGGCTCCTGTAGCTGGAACTAAGCAGAGAAATTACTGGTTAAGTATATAAATAAGATGATGATTTGATGCAATCAATTAAGGAGACAGCTGTAGAAGAGTGAAACTATAAACTCCTAGACTCTGTTAGCAACAGTAGAAAGAAAATGATGTTCAGTTGGCATTATGGAGAATTAACCAGAATTTTGTGACTGATTGAGCAATGAGAATCAAGAGAAAATTAAGAAAAAGGAATATAACATGAAGTAAATGGATGTTTTGGAGCTAACTCTTTTGATTTGGGAGAGCCTATTTTTAAATTGTATGGAATATTGCAAGGCAGTTGATAGCTTGAAATTGACTAACATGATGGGAGATTTTACACACAGAAATTAGCAAATGCTACAAATCAGCCACCAACCCCCATAACCTCATACCAGCCAAAACACCACTGATAAAAATTACTCCCAGGGGAAGTTCTCTTTCATTTCAAAGCACTGATCCTTAGGAAAAACTCCATCAAACATCACATAGAAGTAAGAATTCACTTATCACTACTTTGGAATAACAGAAGAATGGAATTTTAGCATTAGAAGATATTAATATTTATGAGAAACCAAATGTATTATAACCAAGGAACAGAACAGGAGAACTATCTTTCCTAGCTTGAATAACTATTTAGCAGTAGGAAGAGAACTAAAATCCAGGACTTCTAGATGAGCAGCTTCATTAAAAAAACAATATTTTCAGAGGAAAATGATATACTCTTCAATTCTTTTCTTAAACTAAGAACAAAGAAGTTACATGCTTAATTAGTATACAAGTCTTGCATTTTTTTTCAGAAAGGCAAATGCAGGATGGCAACACCATGACCCAATAATAATGTCTAGGAAGATAATCTGATACACGTGTTTAAAAGAAGTACATAGTGTGATGCAATAACAGTAAGAAAACTGTTTAGCTAAAAGGAGCTAAGAGTTAGGTAATGAACTAAATAAGTATTTATTGTTGCATGCCACTGAGGTTTTCAGTTTGGGGGTTTTTTTTGTTTTTTTTTTTTCAATAGAAAATCCACAGTGTCTTATAGACTATAATGCAAACCACATATGTAATTTAACAAGAGAAAAAGGAAAAATTTCTTTGATGATGTTTTCTTTAACCCAATATATCCAAAATACTGGGCTTCTCTCGTGGCTCAGATGGTAAAGAATATGCCTGTAATGAGGGAGATCTAGGTATGATCCCTGGGTCAGGAAGATTCCCTGCAGGAGGGAATGGTTACCCATTCCACTATTCTTGCCTGGGAAATCCCATGGACCGGGGAGCCTGGCAAGCTACAGTCCATGGGGTCACAAAGATTCAGACATGACTGAGCTACTATTATCACTACTTTGGAATAACAGAAGAATGGAATTTTAGCATTAGAAGATATTAATATTTATGAGAAACCAAATGTATTATAACCAAGGAACAGAACAGGAGAACTATCTTTCCTAGCTTGAATAACTATTTAGCAGTAGGAAGAGAACTAAAATCCAGGACTTCTAGATGAGCAGCTTCATTAAAAAAACAATATTTTCAGAGGAAAATGATATACTCTTCAATTCTTTTCTTAAACTAAGAACAAAGAAGTTACATGCTTAATTAGTATACAAGTCTTGCATTTTTTTTCAGAAAGGCAAATGCAGGATGGCAACACCATGACCCAATAATAATGTCTAGGAAGATAATCTGATACACGTGTTTAAAAGAAGTACATAGTGTGATGCAATAACAGTAAGAAAACTGTTTAGCTAAAAGGAGCTAAGAGTTAGGTAATGAACTAAATAAGTATTTATTGTTGCATGCCACTGAGGTTTTCAGTTTGGGGGGTTTTTTTGTTGTTTTTCTTTCAATAGAAAATCCACACTGTCTTATAGACTATAATGCAAACCACATATGTAATTTAACAAGAGAAAAAGGAAAAATTGCTTTGATGATGTTTTCTTTAACCCAATATATCCAAAATACTGGGCTTCTCTAGTAGCTCAGATGGTAAAGAATATGCCTGTAATGAGGGAGATCCAGGTATGATCCCTGGGTCAGGAAGATTCCCTGCAGGAGGGAATGGTTACCCATTCCACTATTCTTGCCTGGGAAATCCCATGGACCGGGGAGCCTGGCAAGCTACAGTCCATGGGGTCACAAAGATTCAGACATGACTGAGAAAACTAACACACATCCAAAGTATTATTATTTTAACATACGTTTAACATAAAATATTAATGTGATATTTTATGATCTTTTTAAATGTTTAAAATTAAGCTAGTCATATTTTAAATGCTTGATTGCCACATGAGGCTAGTGACTATCACTGCATACCATAGTGCATCTCTAAGATAATCTCTCAATCCTGGGACCATGCTTTAAGAGAATCTAGACTAACTGTAGTCCAAACAGAATAAACTAATCTGGAAACCAGTGTAGGCACAAAACAGAGGAAGTATGAAGTTAGCCTGGAGATATATAATTCCAAGAAGACAGAAGGAATATGTGACAGATACCTTCAAACACTTGAAGCATTGTTACATAGAAAAAACACAATAGATTTATGTTATACTATTCCTTAGTTAAATCCACAAGTAAAAATTAGAGAAAAGCAGATTATAGGTTTGATAGAGAATGATCCTCCTACTCTAATTAAAACTGTATGGATTATCCATGGAATCATTTAACCTGCCTAGTAGATTGATTGTATTATGACCTCCAGTGATTTGTCCCTCCTTATCTATACCCTTTTCCATGCAATTGTGCGATGACCTCCCTCTCTGGATGGGGCATTCTATCCCACCTCTGTCGGGGTTAGCCATATGGCTTTGCCTATTGCCAACTTAATACAAATGGAGATTTCAGAAAGTGCTCACTCAGGCTTTTCCACCTCTATTTTTGCCCTCTTTCATAATCATGGAAATGGCATGCCCAGACCTGCCCGTAAGGCCATCTTAGATCATCCAAGAGCAGCAGACCTCCAACATGTGACCGCCCCCTCCAGATATATGATCACCAGAGCAAACTGACATTCCCATGACTGATTGCAGATGAAAGTGAGCAGGCCAAGATCAGCCAAGCCCAGCTTAGATCATCTAAGCACTGCAAAGTTATAAGCTAAATAAGCATTAATTACTACACACTGCTGGAGTTATGAGGTTGTTTTTTATGCACCATTTTTGTACAACAGATAGCCAATCTAGCATTTATCCTTCAAATTTTTATCAGCCAGAAAATGTCTCATCTCCTAAAAACATGTCATATACTCATTTTTTTCCCCAGCATTATATGAATTACAATTTTTTTTATACAGTGATGGTATACTGAGCAATTGTCAAAATAAGAACTGTTTCTTCCTTATTTTAATGTCAGTAGATCTGATTTATAAGTGTAAAGGCAGGAAGATGTGGGATATGATATTTTTACAGTTCATTGATTACACTTAATCTGTAGCTAACTGGGAAAGGATTTATAAAATTCAACAAAAGAGTCTTACCTGAGCTGCTGTAAAGTTTACCAAGAAATAGTTTCCATTTTCAAAGGTATCTGCAAGGAAGAAAAAAGAATAAGCAACTACTCATTGTTTCAACAATAGCAGATAATCTTTCATGCAATCAGAAAATATTTCATTGGGATCACAAGTACTGATCAAGACAAATCATGACCTCTGTAGAGTAGCACTAAAGATAGTGGCTGAGGGAATATTTCACCCCAGGTTAGTGTGGGGATGTACCTATGGAAGAGCGTATTTTTGAGGTGAGCATCGGGAGATTGCAAATACAAGAGAACCTGGATTGAACTAGTAGACACCATAGGTGAAAAAGCATGGAGGCTACTGATGGCAACAGCAAAGAATCTGCCTGCAGGAGAGGAGACCTGGCTTTGATCCCTGGGTAAGGAAGATCCCCTGGGGAAGGGAATGGCTACCCACTCCCCAGAATTCTTGCGTGGAGAATTCTGTGGACAGAGCAGCTTGGCAGGCTACAGTCCATGCAATCGCAAAGAGTGGGACATGACTGAGCAACTAACAAACAGCAAGTGCACAGCCATGAGAATTCACACAGCTATGATGATAAAGGCTTAGAGTTGGGGAGAGTGGTTAGGAATTTGTGCTCTCAAGTGAAATTGACATAGATTCAAATTTCCACTTTTGTATTGTTGTGAAAACTCTGTAAAATTAACATTTCATCATCAGTAGACTGGAGATGCTAATAATACCCAGCTCAAGGCAATGAGGTCTACAACATGCCACCTGTGTAGATAAGTGCTCAAAATTTGTTGTTCTCAATCATCATCAAAGTCATCATCATCTCTACCTTCCTAGTTCCTCTCTCCCTACTCTTAGCTCATCCTTCCACAGTGTTCCAGATCCTAAGGCCTCCGGCCTCTGCTTGTTACATCTGTGTGTTCAACCCATAATTCAAGCCTATATCCACCACTCTTCAGCTCCTGTGTTTATTTTGTTTTTCCCCACTGAATCTGGTCCTTTCAAAATCACCAGTGATATAGTATATTAAATTTCAATATCTCACCATGATGTTCAAGATTTTTAGCCTCTTTGCCCACACATCTCCTCTTTGAAATACTCCTTAGTTGATATCTGCTTTACTCATTCTTCTTATGTGGCTAAATGCCTGTTTCATAAAAGTCAGTTTCATTTCATGTTTTATTCTTGGCCCTAGTCAACATTTCATCTCTAATCAATATGTCAACGTTGTCTCTCCCTGAACCCAATAATAGTATTTGTTTTTTAAATTAACTCCACTCTTGTGGAAATGAACACTTGTAAACCCATATTTTTAAACTGAGCTTTAGCTAGAAAGTATAACATAAGAAAGCACCATAGCCTATTTTAGCAGTTTTAATTTAAATTTTTTAAAGAATGAGATTCTGTTCATATAAGCTATTTAAGATTAACCTTGAGCTAACTATTCAATCTCCTTAAATCTAAGTAAATTTTAAAAAATAATTACAAACAGTTAAGAGAAAAATTAAATCTATACTTGTATCTTCATATTTTAAATTTTAATTTCTAGGGTTGGTGAAAAAGGGAAAAGTGCTTCTGCATAGACCTTAAACAGTGTAAAAAGTTTAAAACTTGTTGGAACTATTAATTTTTAACTTCAAGTCTAGAATATATTTGTTGTAGGAACTTAAAGTCTTATTGGAGAAGGACATGGCAACCCACTCCAGTTTTCTTGCCTGGAAAATCCCACGGACAGAGGAGCCTGGCGGGCTACAGTCCACAGGGTCACAAAAAGAGTCAGACATGACTTAGTGACTAAACAACAACAAAGTTTTATAGAAAATTGGTTTTTCCTTCCTATTTTTGAAATATATTGCTCATAGCAAGCTGATTTTACACACTAACTTTGGTGCTATAAACCCAACATGATATTAATCATCTAGTCCTAATCAGCTCAAGCTGTATAAAAGGATTCTTGTTGATGTTGTTTAGTTGCTAAGTTGTGTCCGACTCTTTTCAACCTCATGGATGGTAGTCTACCAGGCTCTTCTGTCCACGGGATTTTCCAGGCAAGAATTCTGGAGTTGGTTGCCGTGTCCTTCCCTATGCAGGAATCAAACCTGTGTCTCCTGCATTGGCAGGAGGATTATTTACCACTGAGCCATCAGGGAAGCCGGAAAGGATTCTAGACGCCCTTAAAATATTGGTTCTCAACCAGCAGCAATTCTGCTAGTGAAACATGTAGCAGTTATCTAGAGACACATTGGTTGTTACATTTTGGAGCTGGAGAGAGTGTTTTAGCATCTAGTGGGTAAAGGGTGGAGGTGTATAAACATCATATAATTAATGGTTCAACCACCACCAATAACAAAGAATTATCTAGCCTCAAATGTCAGTGTTATCAAGGTGGAGAAAACCTGCACAAATAAAGGTACTTTCTTAAAAAAGAAGAGAATTCTTGCTCCCTAATTTCAAAAGTTACTTTAGGGACTCCCCTGGAGGTCCAGGGGTTGAGACTTTGCCTTCCAGTGCAGGGTTTGTGAGTTCAGTCTCTGGTGGGAGAGCTAAGATCCCACATGCCTCAGGGCCAAAAACCCAAAACATAAAACAGAAGCAGTATTGTAACAAATTAAATAAAGACTTTAAGTGGTCCATATAAAAAAAATCTTTTAAAAAAAGCTACTTCAAAGCAATTATAATCAAGACAGTGTGTTACTGGCTGTTAACTCCTGTTGCTATAATTTTCTGCTCACCAAACAAATTCTTGACTGAAGTTTTATCTTTCACATATACTTCACTTAAGGAAAAATACGTACTTCCTAATAGATGGGAACATCTTAGCCCATTAATAAACACAGTTCTTAAATTTAAAAACTGACATTGTGGCATATTATTTTCATGTAAGGTACAAGTCCCACTCCCTTAAAAGTTGACTTGGGTAGCTGGTTAATCTCTTTTCTCTGATTTTTGGGCTTTTTGTTGTTATGCTAGCCACTCTGATTTAAATGTAAACTATATTAAAAGCTTGTAATGGAAATTTATTATTTATCTTGCATATTAATGATACATTTTATTCAGCAACTATGTTTCAGGAATTCTATCTATATATTAAATCAACTAAATCTACATAAAATCTACATGATAAGTAATATCTTGCAGATTTTGAAAACTGAGGAAATACAGATAGAGAGATATAAAGCTATAAAGCTTCCCAAAAGATATATAATTAATAAATGACTGAAATGGTATTTGAAGCCAGACCTATTGAATTCCAATATATCACATGACTCTCCATAGAGTTAACTTAAAAAAACAAATCCAGAGACCAGATGGAACTTTGAAAGTAATCTAATTCCTTTATATCTCTACAATTTTTGCCAGTTCCACCTATAAATGAGCACACACACACACAAAAATAATTTGAAAAGCATCTCTCTTATATACTGCATTAAAGGAATATAGGCTTCTAAAGTATTATCCATACATGAAGAAGAGTAATTTAAAATGCCACTTGTGACATCATCAAAAACTTAGAAATACTTAGGAAACTTAACAAAATATGTGCAAGACTCATGCACTGAAAATATTATAAAATGTTGCTGAAGTAATTAAAGGATACTTTCACTTACTTACTTAATCGAAGATGAGATAGAGAGGGAGATAGATAACCCTAAATTTATCTTTAGTATCAATGCATTTCTGTTAAAGTTCTAATAAACTTTTTGTTAGGTATTGACAAGTTGATTTAAAAACTTTTATGAAATCAAAAGGAACTACAATAAACAAATCTGAAACTACTTTAGTCAAGACATGATAGTGGCATAAGGATTAAACATTTAGATTGATAGAAAAACTAACCCCAAATAAACTCTCAGCCACATATAACCTATTAATAGCTAACAGAAATATCAGGAAAATAAAACAAGGAAAAAAGATTATACTTTCAAGAAAGTGGTGCTTGATCAGCTGGACAAACATGGGGGGAAAGGAACCTGGACTATTAAAACCCAGGTCTCCCACTAGTTGCCAGAATAGCCAACTATCAGTCTTACTCTGAGACCTCTGGAAGGGAGGGGCTGGAGATTGCATCAGTAGCCAATGGCCAACGATTTAAACACCATGCCAATGTGATGAAGCTTTCAAAAAAATAAACAACCACAAAAAACCCAAAGAATGAGGTCCAGAGAGCTTAGGGGTTGGTACACACACGGAAATGTGGGGAGAGTAACACGCCTGGAATGGGCAGGGGAGCTCTACAAGGCTTCCCTCATACTTGCCCTAAGCATTGCTTCTCTCTGGCTACTTCTGAGTTGTATCCTTGAATAATAAACCCATAAACTATTATGCAAAATGTTTCTCTGAGGTCTGTTACCACTCTAGCAAATTAATCCAACCTGAGGAGGGGGTCATGGGACCCTCCAATTTATAGTTGGTCATTCATAAGCACAGATGACAACCTGGACTTGCAGCTGGCATCAGAAGAGGGAGAGGAAGGCAGGAGGAGGAAGTCTTGTGAAACTGACCCCTTAACCTTGAGATCTGACATGATCTCCAGTAGGCAGTGTCAGAATTGAACTTAATTGTAGTGCACCCAGCTGGTGTCCCAGAATTGCTTGTTGATGTGGAAAAACACTCACATACACATATGTTGGAATTGGTACCAGAACCTTTTTAGGCTAAGACACAAGAAGCACAAATCATATAAGAAAAGCATGAATAAATTGATGTTTAATCAAAATTAAAGTTACTCTTTGCCAGACACCATCATGGAATTGAAAGGGCAAGTCACAGACAGGGAGAACAAACCATATATTTGATAAAAGACGGTAAAATATATAACTCATAGAACTCAATAATAAAGACAAATGACAATAAAAAAAATAGGTGAAGGACTTGAACCTCACATAAGAAGGTATATGAAGTGAAGTGAACTGAAAGTCACTCAGTCATATCCGACTCTTTGTGACCCCACAGAATACACAGTCCATGGAATTCTCCAGGCCAGAATACTGGGGTGGGGAGCCTTTCCCTTCTCAAAGAGATCTTCCCAACCCAGGGATTGAACCCAGGTCTCCTGCATTGCAGGCGGATTCTTTACCAGCTGAGCCACAAGGGAAGCCAAGAATACTGGAGTAGGTAGCCTATCCCTTCTCCAGTGGATCTTCCTGACTCAGCAATCAGACCAGGGTCTCTTGCATTGCAGGCAGATTTTTTACCAACTGAGCTATCAGGGAAGGCCTAAGAATGAATATAAATAACCAATAAACACATGATAAGATGCTCAACATCAAGGAAGTGCAAATCACATCCATAATGAAATGCACGATACACTTACTAGAACAGTTAGGTTAAATTTTTTAAATTAATTCTTAGTGGTGGTGAGGATGTAGAAAACTGGAACTCTTAATTAGTAATGTTAGTGATAGAAAATAGTACACTTTAGAAAACAATTTGGTATCTTCTTCAACCAGTAAACATACACTTGTCATATGACCAGGCCCAACAATTCCATTTCCAGGATTTTACCCAAGAGAAGTGAAAACATATGGTTACCAAATGACTTATACTCAAATAACCATGGCAGGTTATAAGTAATAGTAAAAAATATGAAACAACTAAAATGTTTATCAGTAAGTAAATGGATAAATTGTGGGTACTCACACAAGATGACTATTCAGGAGTCAAAAGTAGTGAACTCTTATATGCAATAAAATGGATGAATTCTTAAAAATATTTTGCTAAGTGCAAGAGGCTAAACACAAAGAGGACATACTGTAGGATTCTATTTACATAAAACCTAGAAAAGACAAATCTAATTCATAATGTCAGAAAGCAGATCAGTGGTTGTCAGAGACTGGAAATGTGAACTGGGAGTGGGGGGCAGTTTGTTGGAAAGAAGTAGAAGGGCTTTGTGTCTACAAAAATATTCTACATATTTATTGCGATAGTAGTAAACCAATAGGAGAAGGCAATGGCATCCTACTCCAGTACTCTTGCCTGGAAAATCCCAGGGACGGAGGAGCCTAGTAGGCTGCAGTCCATGGGGTCGCTAAGAGTCGGATACAACTTAGCAACTTCACTTTCACTTTTCACTTTCATGCATTGGAGAAGGACATGGCAACCCACTCCAGTGTTCTTGCCTGGAGAATCCCAGGGGCAAGGGAGCCTGGTGGGCTGCCATCTGTTGGGTCACACAGAGTCGACTGAAGTGACTCAGCAGCAGCAGCAGCAGAAAACCAACAACTGTATACATTTGTCAAAACATATATTAATACAGCTATAAATTTAAAATGGATACACCTTATGTAGGCATATCAAGTTAATTAGAAACCAATAATTTTATTTTTAGGAATCTACCCTATGGAAATAATCTGAACTACAAACAAAGATTAATAGTCAGTGTTGTTATTTTATAACAATAAAAACTGAAAACATCCTGCACAGGGAATAACTATAGAAAGGTAAATTATGGAATATCCTCTGAATGGAATGTGATAATCATAAGGATATTGATAAAGTATATAAAATAATATCTAGACATATTTGTGTCACTATGTTAAGTGCAAAGAAACAGGATTCACAAATTAAATATGGCAACCCACTCCAGTACTCTTGCCTGGAAAATCCCATGGATGGAGGATCCTGATAGGCCACAGTCCACAGGGTCGCAAAGAGTCGGACATGACTGAGCGACATCACTTCACTTCACTTCACTTTACTTCATGTTTTCAACCAGAGGAGGAAATAACAACCCACCCCAGAATTAATGCCTGGAGAATCTCATGGACAGCGGAGTTCTGGTTCATAGGGTCACAAAGAGTTGGACACGACTGAAGTGACTGAGCATGCATAATTTCAGCATTATTGAAAGTTGAGCATTATTTTAAGTAAAATGAAAACAAAAGGTGCTACAGCAAAAACATTAACTGATTTTAATTTTTTTCTAATTTTTTATCTCTTAAAATGTTTTCCTTAATGAGAATATGTTTACCCTTGTAATGAATAAAACCAAAAGGAAGAAACTTTTAGAAATATTTTACTTTTGTAAATAAAGAAAATAATGTTTTATTTTATTGGAAAAAAAAAACTATAAATTCAGTAACTGCTACCTGTTACAAGATTAGTATGTTCTGGTCCACATTAATAAAGTATTGGAAAACGGACATCAGTTGGTGAGAGATTGTAAATCTACAGCAATGCCTGAGGAAGAGGGTGTTCCAGTTATAGTGACAAGCATCAATGATCTAAGATAGAACTATCGTGTTCCAAAACTGGGAAGCGAAAGTATACAAAGCAACATTTCATTGGCATAAGTATTCTTTTGACAATTTAAATTCCCAAACACTGAGACACTAAGAAATTTTCTAAGCTCTAATTTGTTTCATGAGGGCCTGCATTATAAAAGTGTTAGTTGCTCAGTCATGTCTGACTTATTGAGACCCCGTGGGCTATAGCCTGCCAGGGTCCTCTGTCTATGGGATTTCCCAGGCAAGGATACTCCAGTGGGTTGCCATTTCCTTCTCCAGGGGGTCTTCCCAACCCAGGGATTGAACCAAGTCTTGTGCATTGCAGGTAGATTCTTTACTGTTTGAGCCACCACTTTGGAGGCAAAGGGTGCCTGGTTCTAGATGGTTGGTCCAAATAGAGGCAGAACTATGAACCACTGAGAGTGGATGGTCAGCTTAATAGAAAATTATAGGGAGATTAAGTCCCCCAGCAGAATCTATAATATCAGATGGACGATCTTACAAAGCTGGGGACCCTATACCCTTCTATTACAATTACAGCATAATATATATGAGAAACAAAAGTTTCAAAAATTCCCCCCACACCACTGCCTTATTAATAGTAGTAATAGAAATAGGCTTTCAGTTCATGCCAGTTATATCCTGAGCCTCCATGTATGGCTTTCCTGAATGCTGTATGGGGACTCGGGAAAGTTCCTACTCACCAATGCTTTGTCCATCATCCCAGAACAGCTGACCTTCAGCTCCACCACTGTCATCCAAAGCAACAATCAGTCCCAGATATTTCTGTCGGCTATTAAAAGAAAAGTTATTTTTCTATAGACTATAGATTGTAAGGATGAAGGACAGCTTCTTTTGAAAATATATAGTCATCCAGAAAAAAGTAAATACATTAAAAATACACCTAAAATTCTAAAAACAGATGAGATAAAAATCAAAGGTATCTAAAAGCTAACAGAATAAAATGTTTATGTTTTAATGAAACATCCAATACAACTTTAGTCTCCAAAAATCAAATACATACACTTTACTTATATATATAAGTAATATAAGAAGCTTCTCCCCCACCACCAAAAAAAATTGTTTAGCAGCTTTCAGATTGCTACAGAATACAATGCAGTGTACTTCTCCTGCATTCACAGCCTTCCATGGCCTGATACTAACCGGCTTGATTTTTATTTACTTTATCTCTCTCCTTTATCAGTGCTCCAGTTAAACTGAATGGTTTACTCTCCTCCAAAACAAGCTCAATTTTCACCTTTAGTTCTTTAATCCTCCCAGAATATCCCTTTCTCTTGTCTTCACACATTCAAATTCTATTATTCAAGACCCAGCCCAGAGCTGAAACCATGATTTTTATAGCACAAGAGTGAAAGCTAACTTCCCTCGTTGAGTGGTTACTGTTCTTGTTATGTACATCTCTCTTGACATAACATGTTCTCTTTTATGTAATATGTGTGTGTGATGTGGTGTGTATAATTTCTCTTGAGTTCACCAAAGTAGACCTCAGGATAAGTACTAAAACCCTGGGTAGACATCACAAATCAAGGAGCTCACTCCTATTCCCGAATTTTTAAATACCATGGAAAGAGGTACATGATGCTACCCTCGGGAAAACATACCCTGAACCTTTGACACAGGAGCTACAGATAAAAGTTCTCCCCAAGACTGACTTCATAAACTCATTCTCCCCCAGATCCCTCTTGGAAGGTACTCTCAGAATCAGATCAATGAAACTGTCCATATTTAGTTTACCCTCCGTCAAGGTGGGCCACTTCCTAAAAGGCTGCCTCGTTGTGGGAAAGTGAGGCCAACGAACACCACCTTTCTCCCTTACCTGGAGTGAGTGTTCATCGCAGGTTCTTGCCAAGGCAGGATGTAGCCTCCTCTGATATGAAGGTTGATATGGTCAAGGGGAGCCTCCAGGACTTTCCACTCACCTATTGATTCATTGCCAGATCCCTAGAAGGGAGAAAGTAGGCAAGGAATGATGACCAGAAAAATAGATGAAATCAGTGCCTGCTTTATTACAAGTCCTTCCTTTCCAAGAAAATCAACAAAATACTGCAAATCGAAGCAGAAAATCTCTGGTTTTCAGCTTTGCTAAAACCTCTAAAAAAAACCCTCTAGTCTTTTCTCTGTATTGTTCAGAAAATGTAGGGGGTTGCAGAGGAGCCAATGTAACATAGGCATCAGATTTTCCAGTATTTGTGGTTTTATGGATACTTTTATTTAAGCAAACTTTGCATGGCCAAAAGGCTGAAAATTGCTGCCTTAGAGAATATGTGCTTGGAAGTCAGGAGAAAGGTCCAGGCCCCTCTCTGCCTGCAGGGACCAGCCGGGGCCCAGAAACAGTGTTAGTTCTTACCGTGTGGTAGTCATACCATCGGGCTCTGGGAAAGTAAGCCTGGACCTGAAAAGTGTTCTGAAAAACAAAGTCAACCTGTCATTATGAATATGCCAATGATTTACTTTTAATTTTTAAAATTATCTCTGTAGAAATAAGATTAAAAAGGGAACTTGATTAATGACTTTAAGAGTCGGAAAGGTTTTATTGAGAAAGATCTTGGAAATTCTTCTTTAAACACAAAGAAACGTAACATTTTTGGAAAGGTAGATTTTGCAAGGATGCAATATGATAAGATACCAAAATGAGAATCCTTTGTGGGGGTAAAGTTTCCGTTCATGGAGATCTTGAAAAACAGTCAAGCTCTCCCTTAGAAGTTCTAGAAATGCATTTGCTTGAAAACAGGGAGTTGGATAAGACAACAATGTAACATAGGCATCAGATTTTCCAGTATTTGTGGTTTTATGGATACTTTTATTTAAGCAAACTTTGCATGGCCAAAAGGCTGAAAATTGCTGCCTTAGAGAATATGTGCTTGGAAGTCGGGAGAAAGGTCCAGGCCCCTCTCTGCCTTCAGGGACCAGACGGGGCCCAGAAACAGTGTTAGTTCTTACCGTGTGGTAGTCATACCATCGGGCTCTGGGAAAGTAAGCCTGGACCTGAAAAGTGTTCTGAAAAACAAAGTCAACCTGTCATTATGAATATGCCAATGATTTACTTTTAATTTTTAAAATTATCTCTGTAGAAATAAGATTAAAAAGGGAACTTGATTAATGACTTTAAGAGTCGGAAAGGTTTTATTGAGAAAGATCTTGGAAATTCTTCTTTAAACACAAAGAAACGTAACATTTTTGGAAAGGTAGATTTTGCAAGGATGCAATATGATAAGATACCAAAATGAGAATCCTTTGTGGGGGTAAAGTTTCCGTTCATGGAGATCTTGAAAAACAGTCAAGCTCTCCCTTAGAAGTTCTAGAAATGCATTTGCTTGAAAACAGGGAGTTGGATAAGACAACCTGGAGGGCAGTGGTAAGGAATCCAATCCAGCTGACAATGCAGGAGACACAGGTTCCATGCCTGGTCCGGGAAGATCCCACATGCCACCAAGCATAGAGCACCTAAGTCTGTGTGCCACAACTACTGAGTCCATGCTCTAGGGCCCAGAAGCTGCAACTCCTAAGCCCACGTGCCCTAAAGCCCGTGCTCCACAACAAGAAAAGCCATCACAATTAGAAACCCTCACAGCGCACTAGCGAGTAGGCCCCGCTCACCACAGCTAGAGAAAAGCCCACACAAGCGACCCAGCACAGCCAAAAAAAAAAAAAAAAATAGATGATCTATAAAATGCCCTTCCTGTTCTTTAGATTATATGATTGGAGGGTATCTGAGCTACGATGGAAAACTCACATTTTCCAGCACTGGGCTAATTAAGATGGCAGGGCCCAGCATGAACTGATGGTCTATATCCCATGTTGTGCGTTCCTCTGTAAACCTTAAAGAAAAAAAAAAGTGAAAAATACACCCATATTGTTATGACAGCTGCAGAGGGTTATTCCCAAGACATCCCAGACTTGTCACTTGGGGAACCCAGCTGTACTCACTCATGGAGAAGGGGTCGGACCACAGTGCTGCCCTCGGCATGAGCTTTATGCATTAGAGTGTAGAAGTAAGGAAGCAGAGTGTATCTGGTCTGGAGGACTTTTCTTGAGAACGTCTCAAAGGCTGAGTCCCAGGCCACAGGATCTTGTCTCTAAAAGAGTAAAGTAGCAAGTGGAAGGTCACCTCCTCCTTGCTAGCAGTATGAGAAAAGGACCAGCATCACATATGGGCTTTCCTGGTGGCTCAGCGGTAAAGAATCCCCTGCCAACACAGGAGACATGAGTTTGATCGCTAATCTGGGAGTAACCCCTGGAGAAGGAAATGGCAACTCACTCCAGTGTTCTTGCCTGGGAAATCCCACGGACAGAGGAGCCTGGCAGGCTACAGTCTATGGGGTCGTAAAGAGTCAGATTTAGCGACTAAGCACTCACGCACAGGCACATATCCCATATGTAGGTTACACATCCTTTTTCCTTTAACTTCTAGCTTCCTCTTTCCCTCCATCTGCCATCTTTATAAACTGGAGCTTCTTGCTTCCTTTTCTTTCCATGAACCCTTCAGGATGGGGTCTAGCCTTGGCCCTGCGCGTGTGTAGAGAGAGATGGGTCTCCATGCAGCACTGACATAACTCAGTAAGATTTAAGTAAAATACAAATCCATCATTTCTAAAAGCAAAGGGAGCCTCTTTTTATTTCAGCTCCATAGGGAGCCATAAACATTTCTCCTCATAGGCATTAATAACCCAAGAGATGGGGTAAAGTATATTCTTGAAAATGGTTGGCAGTCTGGGCTCTTGAACTCTGTGGATTTTCCAAGCAATGGAGTTGCTGGTGATTTTATATTTTTTTCATCATACAAATAAGTATGATGCTCTTGAGCTAAGAAGAAGTTAAGAAGAAGTGGTGGGGTTTCCCTGATGGCTCGGTGGTAAAGAATCTACCTGCCAGTTCAGGAGACACAAGTTCAATCCCTGATCTGGGAAGATCCGATACGCTGCGGAGCAACTATGCCCATGCACCACAGCTATTGAGTCTGTGCTCTAGAGCCCGGGGGACCACAACTACTAAAGCCCAGAGCCCTAGAGCCCGTGCTCCACAACAACAGAAGCCACCACAGTGAGAAGCCTGCACACTGCAACTAGAGACTAGACCCTCCTCGCCGCAACTAGAGAAAAAGTCCACGCAGCAGTGAGGGCTCAGTACAGCCAAAAATAAACAAATACATAAATAAAATTATAAGAGGAAGTTATGATGTAAGGACACGAAACACCCAGAATGTAACTGGCTTCCCTCACCCTGGTCCCAAATGTGTTGTGGTTCCTGGAAAATGGATAAAACGCCCCCAGCTGCATCCAGCGAACACACATCTCATACTCAGCATCTCCAAAGAATCCACAGATGTCTGCTCCTGTCTGAGAAGATGCAAAATGAGAGCATATTTTAGGTGGGACTTTGTGGGTTTCAGACACACTGAACTCTGAACTGGGGGATTCATCATGGCCCCAGTAGGACTTACATAGGAGATTCCAAAGAGACTGAACTCCATCATGCCTGCAAGGAGAAGACACAGCTGTGTTGGACACAGGAGAGCAGACTGCGGGAAGGGGAGGTTTGACCTGTCTCTTCTGTTCCACATTTGAAAGCTCTGAGTCACTCATGATGAAAATGTCAAAAGACGGGTGTGCATTAAAACTCATACACACAGAGCACTCAGCTCCCGTGGCATTCACTGACTGCATGGATGACGATTAGACATGACCAATCCTGCTGAAGAGCACTCCAGACCCCTCCCCACCTGGAGAGGCCCCAGAATAAGCCCACACACCAATGATCGACTTCTTCAGCTGGTCCCACGCGGCCGTGTTGTCGCCCAGCCAGTGTCCTCCCCAGCGGCCAGAAGAGGGGAAAGTGGAGCGGGTGATGACGATCCCTCGCTGTCCTGTCACCTCCTGCACGGCTCTGCTCGGAGGGGGACAAGGGGGTGAGCTGAGGGTGAATTTGAGGCTGGACAGCTGAGGAGCTTTATCTGCTAGTTAAGTGATGCTGAGAGTCCCAGTCAGCTTCCCAGCAGAACAACTTGCAGATACAGCATCACCTAAAGTATGGATTTCTTTTTCTTTTAAAAAAATTTTTAATTAAAAAAAATTATCTTATTTTGGAATATGGTTGATTAACAATATGTGGATTTCTTAAAAAAATTAATTAGCTGTCTACTTCTAGGTATGAGGAGGGCTGGGATGAGGTGTAAGAGAGAGATTCACAGAACAATTACTCTATCCCAGGCATTGTACCAGTCATGTTCATGTACTGTCTCACAACCCTGGCCTACTTTTACTGTCAGGAAACTGAGGCTCAAAGAAGAGAGATAATTTGTCAGTCATTTAAAGAGCAAAGAGGTAGATCTGGTACCCAAATAAAAGTATACATGACTACAGCTCCCTTTGATAATATGCTCTCTACTAGGCTAATCCTCAAAACGCAGGAAAAATTTTGCACAGAGGGACAAATATACATAAAAGATGTTTAAATATTTCTCAATGGAAGGTCAGTCTTCTGTAAGATGCTCTAGCCCAAAAATAAAAACAAGATATGAGAGAAAAATCAGTGGATCAAAAGAGAAAATCTATTGACAGATGCTGGTGTATGATGTAATCCAAATATTTGCTAAAGAAAGCATCACATCAATAGGCAAAGATAAAGTATTCAGTAAATGATGTCAGGAAAAGTAGCTAGCTATAGTGGAAACTAATCCATTTAGGTTACTGCCAATATTTCACACTAAAATAAGTCCAAAAATGGACAGGGATGTGTGGGCATGCATGCACATGTGCACACACACACACACCCCAGTGAGAGGGAATGAAGGCAAGAAATAAGGCAGGGGTGTCCCCAGTGGCTCAGCAGTAAAGAATCCTCCTGCAATGCAGGAGTCACAGAAGATGCAGGTCCAATCCCTGGGTCAGGAAGATCTCCTGAAGGGGGACTTGGCAATCCAACCCAGTCTTCTTGCCTGGAGAAGCCCCATGGACAGAGGAGCCTGGCGGGCTGCAGTCCGTAGGGTTGCACAGAGTCAGACACGACAGGGGTGACTTAGCACACACACATAGAGTAAGGGTGGATGCCCGTGATGCAAAGAACTTTGTCCCTGACCATGTCAGAACTCTAGACATTTACAGTCATAGGAAGAGATGAAAATCGTCTTGCTGGCCGGTGACAAAAGCACACTCACTCGTACGTGGGTCTGGTCTGGGCCCAGCCGTAAAGGTTGTGCACGTCGTAGTGGCGCACGGCCGAGCCGTCTGGCAGCACCTGCTGGCTCTCCATGCACAGGGTCTGGCTGCTCAGGCCCTGGCCCCGGGACACCAAGTCTGGGACGAAGTGCAGAGTTAATTCTTACAAAACCTGATTTGCACATTCACCAGAAATGCCCATCACCTTCGCATTTCTCGACTTCAGCCAACAACCTCATTACCAGTAACAGCTCCAGTTTCAAGCAGTTTTTGTCATCAGGGTCCTGTGGCTGCTTAATTAATGAAAGGTAAGAACAGAGTATGGAGCCAGGAAGGGGACCCTCCTGTTCCGCTCCAGCTCTAATAGTTACAGGGGGCTGCCATAGCCCAGTTAGGACTCAATAAACCTCTTTATGGTTATGATCGTCTCTTCCACTAGATGGCAATGTTCTCAAGGGAACAGGTCCTATTTCATCACCGCACTAATACGGCTGAAGCTTTCTGATTTGTCATCACTTATCTGATACACAGATACTAAATTAAGGAAAGGAGAAAAGGGCAGAAAGGAAGGAAGGAGAAAGGAAGGGAGGAAGGGAGAGAGGAAGGAGCTAGTGAGCAATAGGAAGCCTAGCAGTGAACCACAATTCAGGAAATGTGGAGTCCACGAATTACTGGGACAGTACTCTTATTGAAGTGAGTCACTTCCTTCCCTAGGCAAGAGTTCAAGTAAGGTACGAGTTCAAGGTAAGGGAAGAGTTCAACTTGTAAGGTGTTCAACTCCTAAGACATCTTTAAACCCAAGGTCCATTGATATTCTGTTTGTTTTTACCATGGGACAAACAGGGAATATCTTTCACATAGGTTCTGTGAACATGGGCAGAAGGAGTGACTGAACTAGATTTCCATTATCTAATCAAAAGAGTGAAATGTGTATGTAGAGTGCGCGCGTGTGTGTATGTGTGGTATGTGCATATGTGTGTCTTTGTGGTGTATGTGTAGTGTGTTGCAGTGTGTGTGGTGTGTGACATGTCTGTGTGTGTGCATGTGTGGTGTGTGTGCAGTGTAGTATGTGGTGTGTATGTGTGGTGTGTGTGGTGTGTGACATGTCTGTGTGTGTGCAGGTGTGGTGTGGGCGCAGTGTGGTGTGTGTGCAGTGTAGTATGTGGTGTGTATGTGTGGTGTGTGTGGTGTGTGACATGCCTGTGTGTGTGCATGTGTGGTGTGTGTGCAGTGTAGCGTGTGGTGTGTATATGTGGTGTGCGTGGTATGTGTGGTGTGCAGGGGGTGATTTGGAGAGTCAGTTATCAGTTCATATTCATCACTATAGTCAGATGCACATCATTGCTTGGTTTCTTTCAAACCACATCATGCTATTATTTCTGTGCCTGATTAATTGTTTATTTGCACTTGTTCAATTATTCTATTTGAGATTTTATGTCAGGTTTAAAAGCATTTTCTTGCCAAAATTAGGCTTCACTTTGACAATAACAGGAAAAGTTGCAAGGCCTTTGAGCAGAGAAGTAATTTGGTGAAGACATCATTTTACATACTTGGCACATAGGGTGGATTATTAAGAATTTCATCGTTGCAGCCCCTGACAGATCCATTCACAAAGTTCGATGGTTCATTCATGTTCTGCAATGAGATAGCAAAAAAAAAAAATTCCGTGGGTCAGAGGCAGCATGGCCCTTCCTGGAGATGACACTGACCCCTCAGCAACGAGGTCAAACTCACACCAGCTGGTTGCATCACTGACTCTCTGTAATCTCAGGCACCAACCCAAAAGGACTCTAAGGAATCATTTTGGTTTAAGAAGAGTGTTAAACCTCTAGTTTGCTTGGCATTTTTAGACCTGTGAGGATTGGCTTATAGTGACAAAATACTGAAATTAGGCTGGAATCATGACCTAAGTAAATCTCCTTTTGATTCATCTCCCCACACAAGCCCATCTTTTCTATGCATGGATGACTCACTTTTTATCCATGGCTAATGGTTATTATAATCTCCTCATTATCAATAGTTTAGACTATTGATTCTGACACCAGCATAGACCCAAAACCAGGAGAAATCTCTAACTTTCTAACTTTCAGTAGAGACGGTCCTAAAAAGTTGTAGGTAACTCAGAAACAAATCTAGAAATCAAATAATACTTGCAGGGATCTATTACTTAAATGCAAGAAACAGCAGTTCTTGAGGTGAATATTCACAGCCTACATTATCAGTGGAAAACTTAAAATGTTGTATATTAAGTGATCTTAAGTGAAAGTAAAGTCGCTCAGTCGTGTCCGACTCTTTGCAACCCCAAGGACTGTAGCCCACCAGGCTCCTCCATCCATGGAATTTTCCAGGCAAGAGTACTGGAGTGGGTTGCCATTTCCTTCTCCAGGGGATCTTCCTGACCTGGGGATTGAACCCAGGTCTCCACATTGCAGGCAGACATTTTTATTTTCTGAGCCACCAGGGAAGGCCCTGGTGATCTTAAGTAGGACATACTAAAATGCAAAGCCAGGCTGTTTGGGAGGACTCTTGGCTACTGGAGTTATTCAGCTACAGCTTTCTCGCAGTGGAACAAACACCACAGAGCTGATGAAATCTGTGTTGCTCAGGGCTTCCCCCATCTCTTCACAGTTTGGGTTAATCTGTGTCCTTTCATGCCCGGGGTCTGCCTATCCTGATGGTGGCAGCCCCAGGGCCGCCAGTAGGCTGAGAGGTTTGTCTCTGGGTCAATGGCAAGCTTCTTTCAGCCTGGCCCAGACTGGAGAAGCTCTTCAGAGCTGACCTGGAATATGCTCGGGAGCTCAGACCACTGCCCAGTGGAGGAGGAAACTGGGGCACCGACACGCTTCCCACTCGTAGAGAAACACCATTAGAGGAACCTTTGAATGTGTGTCCCAGAGACATCTCAGGAAGCCCTGCTCTTAAGCCCAGCCAACAAGCACAGCAAGCATCGGAATGGACCTTTGAAGCTGGAGTTTTCCCAGCCCTGTGATGATGCCAGTTGCCTCTGATCCATGCCTTGCCCACCCCCGACCCTGTCCTGTATCATGGGATGGGCTCTTGGGCTCTTTTAGCACTGGCCTCTGTGTAGGTCTGGCCAATGGGAGGCACTGGCGAGAGGTTAGAGGGTGTGGAGCTAAGAGAAGTCAGACATGTGTCCCTCTTTCTTCTCCAAGCAGCAACTTGAGTGGCGGCTCATCACCTTCAGGGACCCCAACTTCCACTAGGCAGTATGTCCCTGGGCAGACATACGATTCTCTCTGCTCTTCCCGGTGTTCCCAGCACCTTAGCTCTATAACAGCATCCCTCTCGTCCACTCCCCCAGCCCTAGCTTGCTGCTTTGGTAGGTTCCGAGTTATCTCCCTGTGTTTCGACTGCTAATGTTTTCAAAAAAAGGCATGAAAGATGACTTACAATCCACAATCCATCAAACTTCAAGCTCTTCTCTGGCTCTCGAGGGTTTCTGTAGAGCTCTTCTATTTCCGTCTTCCACCAGGCAGCCGTGCTATTCCGCAAGAAGTCAGGAAAAGCGACGTGGGCTTTGTACAGCTGTAAAGATGACACATGCTCTTATGTGGGGTCTCAGCTCTTCTGTGGGGGGACGGGGGTGCACGAGGACCGGGAAGGGGAGACAAGCAGGTATTTGTGCAAGGCTCTGCCCACTCGGTGTGTGCCCTAACCTCATATCAGTGGCTGCAGCTGCAGTTTACTGCGGACACACACACACCAGGGAAGGTGACTCCATNCGAGGACCGGGAAGGGGAGACAAGCAGGTATTTGTGCAAGGCTCTGCCCACTCGGTGTGTGCCCTAACCTCATATCAGTGGCTGCAGCTGCAGTTTACTGCGGACACACACACACCAGGGAAGGTGACTCCATACGCTCTTTTCCTAGAAGGTTAGGTAGTCTTTAAGTCCCATTTTAAACATGGGATTCACTTTACGATTAGGCATGTCATCATATAAACAGGAAAATTAACCATCAGTGTCTAAACAGTCAAACTTCAGAGCACAAGTGCTTTTCCCCATTGGTCAAATCAAGGAGATCAGTCATGCAGGGAAATGTGAGCTGCAGTGTGGATGGGATGCTGGATGTCCGGGCCTGATGTGGCATCAAGTGCTGAGTCAAGGCCACTGCTCCTTTCAACTGGCCAGCACTTTCTTCTATATGTAGATGATTCAAATTAAAACCCAATCTGTTCATAACCCCACCAGTGAAAAGATTCCACACTTTCCTTCACTATTTTTAAGCAACATTAAATTCAAACAAAATGCAACCCATTGAAGGTGCACAGGTAAAGGTATTTCATATATAATTTCCTTCTATACAATTCCAGTTTAGCTGCCTGTTGGGTTTTCTATTTGCAGAAAATTTTGCTTCCAGAAAATTACTTGTTGACAAGTACACTCAACTCAGAGCTACTTAACCAAACATCAGGGTAAAACTCTTAAGTATCCAGATGTTTAGAACCATGTTGACAAAAATCTGTGTGTTACTGTACCTTAACCTGAGTTTCGTGATCAAGGGACCCATCCACATTCACATTGGGCAGATCTGGCCAAACCTAGAAAAAGAAAAATAAAAATTAAAACCTTTAAAAGGCATTGCACGCAAACCATGAGATGTTTCACATGTTAGACTCTAATGACATGCATCTCCATATAATTCCAGGGGATATTTGCCATTAATTAAATTGCAAAGTCTGAATATATGGAATTTTGTTAGGTGAAAATAGGTTGGGATCTCTTGATTCATTCCATCAGTTTTCAAAATTTTACCTTTGAATGTTATTAACCAAATCCCTTCTAGGCACATCCTCTGTACAATCACTTGGCAAATGATGATTTTTTTTGCTGACCTGCCTATCACAGACTTGTAACAAATTTCCCCTTATAAAAAACACATATTAAGTGTGACTCTAAAGGAATAAGATTGATTTCTGTTCACAACCCATACACTTAGTCTCAATGCTTTCAAGCAGTATCACGACTTACTAAGAACCCCAAGTATACACAGCATTAAAAAATTCATAGTATCAACCAATTTCATCTATAATTAGAAGGACATTAACTGTATACATTTTGGACTTCCTTGGTGGTTCAGACGGTAAAGCGTCTGCCTACAATGCGGGAGACCCGGGTTCAGTCCCTGGGTTGGGAAGATCTCCTGGAGAAGGAAATGGCAACTCACTCCAGTATTCTTGCCTGAAAAATCCCATGGACAGAGGAACCTGATAAGTTATAGTTCATGGGGTCACAAAGAGTCAGACACAACTGAGTGACTTCACTTTCACTTTTCAACTATGTACATTGATTCATTCATTCAACAAATACTGAACATTTACTATATGCCAGGCTCACTTCTATAATCTGTATCTGCTGAGCCTTAAGTAAGAAACAGTCCTCGTTTTCTCCAAGTTCACAGATGGAACATAAGTGAGTTGCAATATACAAAAGGGAGAACAAAGCTGGTCTTTGGATGCTTCCTAAGAGTGAATATTTAAGTTGGCCTTGAAGTCCAGGTATTATTTGGGTAAGTTGGGAAGGAAACATTCAACGGCACTTGAACAGGGCATTCAGTTCAGTTCATTC